ATATTTATTTATTTATTAATTAAAAACCAAAATACTGAAACAGTGGCTAGATCTCGGTAGAGATACAAATTTGATAACAACACCTAAAATTAAACGTAAGCAAACAGCCAAAAATAGAACCATAGCTTATATATACATATATTTTATTTCATTTCATTCGCATCCGAGATTGAATTTCACACTTTAAAATTTATATACATAATTATTATTTTATCTTGTGTCTGAGATCTAGTCTTGTCGCACTAAATATCGTTTGGTTTGTATGTTGCATTCATATATAAATACTAGGATTGGCAGAGAAATCTATAAAATATGTAATTAACAAATGCTTAATGCGTATCATGTTGATCTCTAATCTGTGTGAGTGCTTTGGTTACTTTACTGCCCCTATGTAATAAAAGTAATGGAAATTGCACCAAATTGATTCAAATTTGCTGGTTAAGACATTCTTGAATATGTTCTCAGGCTTTATAAACTCAACCAAAAAGTAAAAAGATAGAAAATTTATTCTGCTTGAAAATGTGTCGACTAGTTATATCATTACACCTGTGTTATCTAATGGTAGTGGAAATAGTAGTACCCCCTCTACAAGTTAAAAAAACACTCTAAAACCCTAATGTGTCTGAGTGAATTTTTGTCACATTTGTAAAGAACAAATATATAAAAATGTGTCAAAGAATCAGAATGGGAAACATTTAGAATTTTCCGTAACCTAAAACCTCAATGTTTGAACAATCCTTCATCGTGTGATATATCACTTTTCCAAGGAAAGCTAGTTTGTGTTCCAGCCGCACAAACACTGATAGATGCAATAACAGATGCTCGTCGAATTATTTCTTCCAACCTTAAGTCTGGATATGAAGATAAATAGTATGCTAGTGATCCAATGAAGCAATCGCCAGCCCCCTAATGGAAATGGAAGATTCGAGGAATTGGTGTGTGTATTGACATTCAAAATTAAAACACATTAATTACTTATGTATTCAATAAACTAATGTTATGTTTATAATTCAAAATACATCTAAACATTTGAAATTAATGAATGCTTATTGAATTTATTATTTATATATTATTTACAACATAAAATAATATAATTCATTCACATTATCAATAATTTATCAATAATATGGTTGATATATTTATTATAAATATATTATTGTTATTATTATTATTATTATTATGATTATTATGATTATTATCATTATTATTATTATTACCTATGCCAACAAAGTTGGCAGGAGGTTATGTTTTAGCCTGGTTTTTTGTTTAGTTATTTATTTGTCTGTCGGCATATTTGTTGTGAACAGCCTACAGCGTTTTTATCAGAAATTCATCAATCTTGGCCACAATGTTAATTTACCTATGATCTAGAGATGATTAAATTTTGAAGGGTCAGGGTCAAAGGTCAAGGTCACAATCAACGAAAAACTTTTTTTTTATTTATTTGTATACAGCCCATATTTTCAATCACAAACTTGTCAAACTTGGTAACAATGTTCCATGACCAAAGATCTCATTACCTCCGCCAACGAAGTTGACAGGAGGTTATGTTTTTGCCTGTTTATTTATTTGTTTGTCGGCATATTTGTATTTCAAAGTGATATCTGTGAAAATAGTTTGGTGTAATGGTTGTTAGAGTGTTTTCCACACTACAGCCCCAGGTTCAAATCCCAAGAGGTCTACTTGTTTTTTTTCCCCATTTTTTTTTTTTGGGGGGGGGGGGGAAGACAATATATGGGGAAAATTTATACTGAGAAGAATTATGTGGGTGTGGGGTATGCACTCTCAGAGTGCCCTCTAGTTATTATTATTTTTCCTAATGAAATGTAAAGTTAAAGTTGACTGTCATTTTTATAATTATAGACTTTTTAATCATTTTCATAATTCATTGGCACTTACCGTGGAATCCAGCGCCTTTACTTGCTTTACAGGAATATGTACTGGAGTTCTTGTATCCCTCAAAGTCAATACTGACCCTTGAACTCCGAGTGTTATGATAACTTTTGAACAGCCTTTATCCAAGAGTGCAAGCGAAGCCCTTTTAGCTTCTTCAACATTAGTTACAGGTAGACTTGTCAACAATTCTGCCTAAAGTAAGCATACAACTTAAGTAATTTAATAATTTCCTTATAATAAATGATGAGGCTGGAATAGACTTTTAGTGGAACTAGAGCCTATGCTACTGACTTACTGAAAATACCATTTGCTATACTATTCCTGGGATCCACCAAGCTACAACTTACCTCTGTTTCATTTGGGCAGAAAATATCACAGTTTCTAAAAAATTCTTCATCTAGATTTTCAACAGCTGGTGCTGGATTTAAAACCGTCAATACTGTCAAATATAAATGGTAGCATCTATTGCAGTATATTGTACTCATTAAAATGAACATAATACAGAGAATATTTTAGTACAGTACTACTGTATTTATCTTTTAATTGGCAATAAACTCTTTTCACTCAATTAAAGCAAACAAACTAGGAATCAAGCAAATAAAATATTAATGATCTTGAATTATAAGCAAGTCTATTCACAAACCTCCTCTTCGCTTGGCTAGCTTCAAGGCAGTAAGTGTGGTTGCTGGTGGAATTTCCAGCTGGCAGAGCAAAACTTTGCAAGAGTTGATGGAAGCAAATGCGTCTGTCACATGGCTTTCACTTAATAAATTATTTGCACCAGCAACAATGATAATAGAATTCTGACCTGTTACAATCAAATGTTTACAATAATAAAAATGTTGAAAATAAGCATTTTAAGAAATGAAATATGATCCCTAAGACTATTACAGCATTGAGAGAGCAGCTGAGCTCAGTCAGCTAATCTGGTGGTAGCCGCTGTGTGTGCGCTGAACTGTGGAGATCTCTAGGTCCCTGGTTCAATTCCCATCGCTGCCTGTCCTTGTGTTTTAGCTAGAGGGCTGAAATACAAGTTACAATAGTGCACTGTCTTTCGGATGAGACATTTAAGCCGTTGGTCCCGTGTGCATTATGGCCCATGTGCACGTTAAAGTACGCAGTACACTCTTCGGAAAAGAGTAGGGGATTGTCTCCTGGTGTACTGCCCAGTCACCACCAGAAGGACCCCATTGGAAATAAGTCTTCTTCTAAACTTTTGTGGGCTATCCTTGGTGTTTACACTGAATAAATCCAATCCAATCCAATCCAGCATATTACAGTACCCACAATTATTTCCCTAAAGTTCCATCCACATTAGATCTGAAACAAAATTTGGACCGCATTTCAGATGCATTCAATTCCAGCATCTCTATTCTGATCAGTTCGGTAGACCTCCCGATCCAAAAATTTTGATTCGGTGAGAATGCACTTTCAGTCCTCCAGCATGTTGGCACTACCACTGTTTGGAGATCACTAAATTTGTATGCACTTGCAAGATACTGAGACTCTCACTGCCAAGCTAGTAGTCACTGTCTTGTTGATTTCAAATGTGGAAAACTAGAGTTTACCCTCCAATTTGTGACAACCTTTGAAGATCTGAATATTTGGGGTGGCCCCGGTGTTTGGTCTCCACTGAGCTTTGTCTTTAAAAAATGAAGATTGTTAATTGGTTCTTTGAAAAAGTGGTCTTGAATTAGTGGGGGGGGGGGGGAGGGGGGCCTCAGAATTTCTTGAATTGGAACATGAACTGTTCTTTATAATTGTAGGGCTTTGTTTTCGGAGCTCAATGTAAACTCAAAGCAGCTCTCCAGCCCTGCATTTATTACAAAATGAGCTGGATTTGTTTTAATTGCAGACCCCTCTGTTGAGCTTGTTCTTACCTTGATCATCAACCGCTATTGGAGCAGCACCAGTGGAAGCCTCGGAGCTTTTTCCTACAAACCCTGACAAAAACAAAAAATATATTAATGATTTTCAGCAACTTTGCATTCAGATGATTTGTTGATTTGTTTGTTATATAATATAATAATGATTTGTTTTTCTTCAGAACCATTTCTCGATATTTTCTTTGGGTTGTAGGAACAACATTGATAATTAATGCCATTATCTCTGTTATCCATTTCTGCAACTTGTATGCTAATAATATCAGTTTGTGCAAACAAAATTGTAAAAACTATATTGATATTCAAAATTTGTGAAAAACGTGAGTATCAGCTTAGCTCAGTCGGCTAATCTGGTGGGTGGTAGCCACTGTGTGTATGCTGAACCGTGGAGATTTCTATCAAGTCTTCTTCTAGACTTTCGTGGGCTATCCTTGATGTTTAAACTGAATAAATCCAATCCAATCTCTTCAATATGTATATTCATCTTTTTCCTAATAATTGTATATTTTCTGAAAATATAATTCTTACCAACATCAACATTGTTGTTTTTAAAGTTCTTAATGGTATCATTTCCAAAACTATCATCTCCAACCTAAAATGTACACAAATAAAAAAGAAGGTGTGTCATTTATTACGAAGTTTTGCCGTAATATATAATAAATAATACTACTTTTCCTTTTTTTTCTTTTACTTTTTTTTTTAACTTTTTACTTAGTTTTTCTTACTTTTTTTATTGTTATAAGTTAACAATGTTTTCAGCTAAATTCTTGTTAATTCCTTATGCTTTTTTAAATGTAATTCTCATATTCAAATATGAAATTGAATTTTTCATTGTTGTTTAGCTCATGATAGGCAGCTTTAATAATAAAATACTTATTCATAAAAACAAGAATTCTGGTTTGAAAATAAAACCTATTACCATGGCAACGATAGCAGTTTTTGCTCCAAGTCTGGATGACATCACACACTGATTTGCACCTTTGCCTCCAAATCCAATAGAAAACTTGGTTCCATGGATTGTTTCTCCTGGTTTGGGAAGCCTAGACACATAACTTAAAAGGGAAGAAAAGGCAAATCCATCATTGGGTGGTTTTATATGCAAACAAGATGGTATTGATATGGGTGATGTGTTTATAATTTAAAGTAAAAGTTACCTTAAATATAATTTACTATATGTAAATACTGTAAAATTATTATGATACAATAAAAGTCTTAAAATCACCTATTCCATATTTAGTATCTTAATGTTCTAATCATTAATTTACTCTATACTTTTCTTTTGATTTTGTATTTAATTTTTTTTTTTCCTGCACTTCGGCTGTGGTTTCGTTTTTGTATTATGCGCTTTATAAGTATATTTTCATTAGCATTATACATTATTGTTTTTTATTTTATTTTATTATGCAACAGTGGTTTGCTGATGATCATGAGGCCCTCACATTGTTGAAGGTATTTGTCATTTTGTTCATAATGTTCTGTTTGGTGATCTTGTTTATATTCTGTATACATTTTAGCTTTGTGCTATGTTATTTTTATACCTCAATAATTAAAAAATTCATAACTACTGTAAATAGATAAATAAACAGTAGGAAGTTAATCGTTCCAAAAGTTTTAAACAAATTTTTAATGCTTATTTTATATAGTATTTTAATAAATGTATTTCCATTTTCAAATTGTTTGCAATAAATAGTAATGATTAAACAACAAAGGTAAACCCAATGCTATCACAATGGCTAACTGAGTAAAACCAGGGAGTTGTTACCATCACTGTATGAATAGTTGTCACTATCACCCACCACTTGGACTGGTAGCTAGGCCTAGTAGTAGTACTGCAGCAGGACCGTGGGTGGTGTACTGTCCACTCGACTACCCAGTAGGGCGGCTAGGCCGAGAGCCTAGGAGGATTAACCCTCCTGACCCAATGCCTAAATCCTAGGCTTATTTTAATTAATATTTACCAGTGTTTCCAAGTGCTGTTGTTAGTGCAAGATATCTTGCCATAAAATAGCCCACCTGATTAGGTCTGTATTGCAGCTACCCACAACTAAAACATCAAAATCTGTCCCCCTTGCAGCATGCATGTTTGCTTTGCAGACAGGCTAAAAAAGTGGGTGGTACCTGAGTGACGTATGTGTCAACAAAAACCGTTTACTCCGCCTCCATCTGTCACGTGCCATACACCACCTGATTGCGCCGAGAGGTCAGGTGACCCACTCGTAACCAAAAGCTGGAAGCTGGTAAGGCAGGCATGCTCTGTTGTTGTTTTGGTTTGGTTTCTTTGCACCTTAGTTTGGCAGTCATAATATGACATATTATGTTCTTCGAATTTTTTTCTCTATAAAGTATCTTGGTTAATTCGAATGTGATATATAATAACATTAATTCAGCTGGTTTTTTAATTATTCGAAAGTTTTTAGGCTATAGCAGGCTAGGCCTAGAGGCTAGGCCTTCAACATCAAATGCCAACCCAGCTAGGCCTAGGACTAGGTAGCCTTCTTACCCGCATATTAAGGATGAGTGCTGTCTGGAGTCAGATCCTGAGGTTACCTACCTAACCTCCTTAATTCTGACTCCTGATGTCGTAGCTAAGTTCGCTCATTAAAGAAAAGCGGGGCAGACAGACCATATGAGATAAATGACATGAATTTCAAATATTTTTATTGTGCTAGTTTATTTAAGCTTTTTATACAAATTTGCTATAGTGCACAAACCAAGTCTCAATCAGTATGAGCTAATCTTTATACTTGCACAATTCAGGTCCTGGTCATGTCTATGCAACAGTGCTAACTGTTTTTCTAACTGCACTGTCTATCTATCAGAATACAGTAGCTCTATTTTCTGACTTGGTGCATGAACTCGCCATATGTGCTGATATACACTCCTCATGCAATATATATCTTTATATATTTGTGAACAAGGCCTCCAAAGCTGATTGAAGTATTCAGATATTAATCCTTTTTACTTGGAATTAGACCAGCCAATACTCTATCTTTCTATCCTAAAGACAGCTATGATTGAGGTGAAGACATTAAATGAGTTCCAGACGATCATCAAAAAGCAGTGTACAAGCTCAGAATCTTCAGGGAAGTGCCAGAGTGATACTGGGACTACCAAACAATGGAGTAATATTTAATTGATTATTTTCACTGAAAATCCACATTAATGCTGAATACCATGTTGAAATATAAACATCCTTAGCTGGCTATTTACATTCTATTGTATATTCTGATGATGTGGATATTATTCTGATTTGTTCTGCATTAATAAAAATATTAGCAAAAAAACCAAACATGTAAAATACATGACTATTTTATATTTACAGATGAGACATCTCAAGAACTGCTCTCTATGTATTCCAAGGAATTATCAGTTAAAAAAGCTGTGTTAGAAAACATTGCACATTCAAAGAGTAGGGATGCGTTAATGATGTATGTAAGCACATGGCAGATTCAACCGTACATTGGAGACAGAGCCAAACTGTTATTGGAGGCTATGCTTGTTGAAACGGGACACAGGTAGCAATACTCCGGAAGCTTTGAGCTCTAATGACCCTTACATTGAACTGATCACTTTCTTCAAACTGACGACCTTACACTGTATTCTGGATTGCAATAAATACTTGTCATTGTCACAAGTCATTTACATTCATCCTGTCAAATATCCTGAACTTTCTACCTCACTGGTTGGCTATAATTTATTTGGCAAGGTTCACTTTAAACAGGTTAATAACTAAAATCAACAATCTTACTGTTAATTTTGGTTTTTTTTTAAAAATATTTTTTGATCCACCTCTGTCGCTGGTTTTTAAAAACAGAAATAAATCAACATTCTGTATTAAAAAATTTATGCTGTCTTTGTTCCACCTTTTCAATAAAAATATCTACCGCAGATGAATTTTTATATGTACACATTTGCCGGATCAGAACCAGAATCGCCAGTTGCATTTTTTTTAATGACACTACATTTGGCACTAGGTGCATTTCTCTTGCTTGTTTTCTTGGGCTAGAGTATAAGTGGGTAATTGAGAGAGTTTGAATATCAATTATGCTAATGACCTGCATTATGGAATTGCCCCTTGGGAACTAAGCATGTGACCCAATAACTAGGGTTATAAAGTACAGTACATAGTGGAATAGGCATGATACACAATACTGTATTAAGACTGCCATAATACATTAATATTATCTAGCTTGGAATTGGCACAGTATCATATACTAATTTGAGTAAGTACCAAGAATTTGATGACTTACATTTCAGACGTGGGATCTGGAAGAAATATATTGTGCCACCATTCTTTTGGGTGTCTTACTGTACCATTATTGGTACATTATTATTTGTTTTTTGAGTTCCTATTATGTCCAGTAAAATAATGTAAAAAAACAATTTTACACTAAAACAAATATACAAAATATTGAATGAGGGCTTGTCATGCTACAAAAGTAACACATGTGAGAATTCATTATTCAAGTTACGTTAGCACAGTACAGTGAAACATACCACTTCAGTGAGTGCGGCTGATACAAAGGCACATGAGAATAATTTTCAGGCTAATCTAATATTAAAACAATTCTCTCAAAAGGTGGGAGGGTGACAAGACAGAAGACAGTTCCCCATGTCACTTAAACTTATGTGCCATTTTTTCTTTCTGGACCCCCTTCTGAAAAAATCTGGAGCCACCCCAGTACTCAGAGTCTCGCAAAAATCAACCAGAATTTTCTCAACAAATCTCATTCAAACAAATAGTTCTTGTAATATTTATTTTGAAAACCGTCCAAATTATTTACATCAGCATTTCAATCTGTGATAAAAACCATAGTGGGGGTTCCAGAATGGGGTAGGGATTGTTTACTGGAGAACATGCCTCAGTTCTGACTATTAAAATGTCAAATCTCTATAATACTAAAATGTTAATTCCAAATTGCAGTCCCTGTGCTCTTCTGTTTCTAGAAGTCTATATCTGCCCCGACCATGTCACTTTCATAAGTGTTTACCACAAATGCTCAAATATACTTAAGAGACCAGACGCTTGTTAAATGCATACATAATTGTACATTCTTATAATACAACATTACTACCACTAAATCATGATAAAATGTAAATCGACCTGAGATAAGTCTTATAAAACTTAGATGTAGAAAATACTGTACGATACAGGATTAATACGCCACAACACTAAAAATAATTCTCATGAATAAGATTTAGTTAGCCCCTCACTTGGGCTATAAAATTAACTGATTTGACCCTATTTCTTAATAAATGTTAAGAGATAGGGGCAAACAAGTGGGGGCTCCCAGCGGGGGAAAATTTCCCATCTGTCGGAAAAGCAGAGATTCCTGCCTATTGGATTAAAAATAATTTGCGGATCCCAAAGTTATTGTGCTTGCAGTCCCCCCGCCCCTCTGAACATGACCAGAGGTTTTACTTACTTGAATCCATGCATCCCACAATACTCCTAATGATCAAGTTAGATTAAGCAAAATACTTCGTATGTAAAATAAACTGTCTTTCCTTAAATTTATAATTACAATTTCAGACAAATTAAGTCAGTGTCTTCAAAATTATATGAAGTACTACTGTTAAATTTTAAATTAGTAAGTATTCAGTTGGGGAAATATATTCTGTTCTATTAAAAAAGTTCATGTGTATAGTGTATTACATCCAATTTGCCTTAAAAGCACTTTGTTGATAATATGAAATAATTTTTAACAAACAACTTGAACACTGATAGAAACTGAGCTTTCTACAGCCCTGTCCTGATTGTCAAATTATGTTTGACAAAAACATGTGACATGCCCAAATAAGGTCATGGTGACATCACATCATGACCTTACTGTATATACAGTAGGCACGTCCAACATGACAGTTTTTTGTCAAAAAGCCTAATAATAATAATAATATTACAAGTAACATGATAACAGTAATACTGTAATGGCATTGTACCACAAGGCAGGGGAACTACACCATATTAACCTCTAAATCCAAGTGATTTCTGTTCAGCCACTTAATTCTCAAACAATGGTGTGAATGCTAGTATGGCCAATCTTGTATGTTTAGTGGTAAAAATTGTACATAATAATACATAATTATTCCTTACTTGAACATATTAAAAATATACTGCCAAGGTAGGAGGATAACCCGTAACTAGCAGCATTATTGTGCAGAATTGCATATGTAAGGTGTCACCACAAAATGAGACGTAATGTTTTTTTAAGTGAATTTTCTTTCTAAAACAGTGTTTCCTGCACATATTCTGCAATTCTAGTCATATTATTTGTTCAGTTTAGTTTATCTTTGAGGCCGATTTTCTCAAAATGTGGTTCTCATACACCTAAACTTGAAAAGCTCACATCTCTGGATCTACTTATCCTAGGGAAACCATTGAAAGACCAAATTAAAGCTTATAATGTGATCTATTCAAATGCAATATATAAACTCAATTTTTTATTTTCTAAGCATGAGACTCATTGTGGCGAGACCTGACATATGGGCGTGGTCTGTCATATGGGCGTGGTCTGTGACTACCTATCCACTGTAAAAAGGTACTTGGAGTAGTTACATGTTCACATCACTCCACAACGACAGAAGCTGCAATGAACCATCATCGCGGTAACCCCCACTCTTCACATAAGCCAAATGTATAAAGTGAAGCTCCATTCTGAGTCCTTATCTGAGAAGGCTTGGTTCTAAACTGGGTGAAGAGGAGCTCAAATACAAAAAAAAAAACAAAAAAACCCAGATGAATCGATTAGTTTAAAGTTACAGTAAGTTTAAACTGAAAAGTAGAGAATAAATATAATACAGTTGCTATATATTTTTTTTAATATAATGTTATTTAAGCTGGTGGTATGTACTATTAGAAGTCCTGTACACAAAATGTCTACAAATCATTAAAACAATTCTCCTCAGTTAGAACCTCTAAACCGTGGGCCCACTGTTGGCTTGTGTGCACTTTAAAGAAACCCTGATTCCTGATGATGACATAATTAATGTTGAAATATTGAATCCTGATACGATGGCGTGCATTTTGATACTTGGAGTATGTATTATACAAACTTAAAGAAACCCAGTACAGTACATTAGTCGTGGCAAGTACAGGATACCCCACGTACTGGTCCAGACAGCCCCTAGTGGATTACAGGAGGTGCTGGTGCCAGACTACCAGTCAGCACAGACCTCTAAGCTAATTCTTCCATGCACAGACACTGATCGAGTCAGAAGTCCACACATCAAGCACCATGAGCTTGATAGATACCAATGCGATACAAATGTACACTATGATTATTATTTTACATGAGAAATTAAGTTTTATTTGAAGTTTTGAGGTGTTTTATTGATTTTTTTTTTGTTTGGCAGTATATTTTTTAATCTATGACTTAAATTTGTATTGAAAATTGTGTTTACAATGAGTGAATAAAGCTCTATTGTTTTTAAATAGGTAAAAAACAATACTCATAAATCTTTAATAGTTGCAGCGCCACCAGCATCCCACCGATTCTTTTCATCCATGATAGTGAGAATTATTGGGCTGGGAATTTATACTAGGAGATCAATACAAGTTGAAGTAGATCTGAACTCATGGCTTTTGAATATATTTTGATATTGGTCCAAACAGCCCAATGCAATCACATGATCATTTTTTAAGTGACCCTGTATTCATTCTGTTATATATCCTATTAATATTCTGCAGAATTGCAGAAGCCTTTGGCAGTTAAGCCTTGACCACCATGCTCATAGACCTCCCAATGACACTCCATACTTTAAAAAAATCTGATGTCAACTGTTTGGACAACTCTTTGAGGAAGCAAGGCACTTGGTTGGAAATGATCCAGTACCACATCATGTTGCAGCTACTTCATTACTTAGATCAGCTGAGTTCACATCCAATCCAGGAACCATTACAACATCTTCATTCTCTGCCAATGCCATCTCTGGAGCATCAGCGGGGTGCATTGTACCATCAACCGATAGCAACTCTTGGATCGTTTCAATAGTCATTCCTTCTGGTGCTTGGATCTGGATTGTTGTACCATCAGGTTTTTGTACAAGAAATGTGCCATCCTGCAGCTGCATGAGGGTGCTCCCTACTGGCATAATGTCAATCGGAGATGTATCATCAACTTCAGGAAGGACATCTTGTATGCCATCTGCAGTAACAAGCTGCTGTAAAGTTAAATTAAAAAAAAAAAACAAGTTGTAAAAACTCAATGTTAATCAGTTCCTCAAAATGAGAAAGTGCTTTAATATACACATCTGTTGAGAAAACTTTGAATTGAATTGCTCACTTACGAGAATCAATTAAGTTATAAATTTCCAAAGAGAGATATTAATATAGAATTTTTGCTATAAAACCCCTAAATTGATTAGCTAACTTAACAGTCTAAGCAAAAGAATATGAAATGTATTATATATTTCATTTCATGTATTCATATCAAAAAGTAAAAAGCAATTTCATTTATTTATTTATTTTTTATTTATTCATTTTGCATCACTGCCCGGGAGACGCACTGTCGCCTGAAGGACGTGCGACTCAATAACAACAAAATAGCAGTGAGCTAAATCAAGTTAACACAAAATAAATATATCGGCTCTGTAAAATGAAGTTGCACAGTAAATCATCCCAAAGACAGAAAAAGTAATTGAAAGTAGAAATTTAAAGCAATCAGTCCTGGCATATTTATGAAAAACCTACAATCAGGGGTGGATCCTGTAGGGGAAGGCACAGGGGGCACTTGCATCCCCCACCCCCCATTTTGTCACTAAATTTTTAAAATTTTAATGCATATCAGTGTTATGTGCTACTCAATTATCTCTTCTGAAACTGTTGTGCCTTATCAATCTGAAAGCTATTATTAAGTTTTATTTATCTATGATTTTATTTATTTTTCTAGCTTAAATGATTGTCACTGCCATTCTGATAAAACAAACTTACTTGCAAACCACTGACATCCCCATCCACACTTTGTAAAAGTGGGACATCATCTTCAACAGCCATTGGCAGCTCAGAGGAATCTGCATTCTCCTCTCCAGTTGAAATAGTTTCCATAAGCTCTGGGCTTGATGTGAAACTCTCAGATAATATTGCAGTAGATGAGCTTATAGTGGGTTGGAGACTTACTTGCGAAACAGCCAGCGAAGTTGATTTCATCGACTCCTATCAAAAGGAAATAGATCAAAGATATACATTTATTTTTACTTGTTCTAAAATAAAGTTCTGACAGTATAATTAACATATTTGGACAGAAGGGGCAAGTAAATACAAATGTAACAATAATTTGGGATTACAAACCTTCGCCCTGTTGCCCTATCTTTATGTACTAAAAAAATATTGATCCGCTCTATTTGCCATACAAGGCCTAGCATCATAGGAATGAAGTGGCAAGCCCACCAATCGGGCGAATTTGCACACGGTCCTAACCATTTCCAGAATTTGACATGATTGATTCGCTAAAGTCGTCCCGTAGTCAATCCGCTCGAGTCGGCTTGGTCAAGCCAAACGCCTCAGTCGAACAATCAGCTTGAGTTGGCTCTGTCTGTTGCGGCCAGAAAATATATAAATAACATTCTGAAATCTGCATCTTACTTCTAATCAGCACCGAATTCGAGGAGAAACCTGTAACATTGTCAATGTGTGAAAATTTGAAGTAAATCGCTCCAGTTGTTTTCGAGTTATGCTCCCAGAAGTACACACAGATGCACAGACGTGCGCCATTGCAATACTCTTCACCTCTTCTTCAGAGAAAAGCAAGGGTAATTGAAAGTGCAGTCATTTGGCAACAAAAATGATTTTGTATTATACTTACTGAGGAAACTTCCTTTGCCAGAGGTTTTAACTCTGGTAGAGGACGTCCAGGTGGAATTGGGTGCTCCACAATTGGTCCCGGGGTCACTACTGATTTCAAATTCAGTGGTCTGTTACGAAGGGGTGTTAGGCTAGGCATGATCTTTGTTTTAGCCTTTGGTGGAATCTGGAAAAAATCAAATATAAATTAAAAGTATGTAATGCAATTTACTGACCTAAGCTGTATGTGTTTAAAATCATTAAACATCAGGCTGATAAAACAAAATGACTGACCACAACGGCATTCCAGCACTCATTGATCACAATAAGTTTTAAATGGTGCTGGGAAACGTGCGATTGCCCAACAGATGGTAAGAGGCATCACATTTTGTCCCAAATATATTTACTGTCAAAGAAACTTTAAAGGGAATGGAACAGACCCCTTAAATTATAAAATGTGTAAATTTATGTTTACATACTCAGAGGTGGACTCAGAAATTCAAAATAAAGGGACCCTGGGAGATGCTTTTACAGATGGAGGGCTTATACC